AAGAAGAAGAAGAAGAAGAAGAAGAAGAAGAAGAAGAAGAAGAAGAAAGTAGTTGTTTCGCTTCTCATCCAAGAAGCTCCATCCATGATGAAACTTCTTGGATGAGAAGTGAAACATCTTCTTCCTCAAAAAACAGTCCAGTTATCTTTTGAGCACTTTTGAGCCAACTATGACCTGGATGACTGAGAATCTCCATAGACATGTAAGGCGGGAAGCATCCTCCGTCATCACCCAAGGCATCTCGAGGACATCAAGTGGAAGAATAGGATATTCCTTAACTTGGAATTCCAAGCTGCCTTTGGGCCAAACGCCAACAGAGTGCCTGGATCCCACTTTCTAGGAAATACATTTATTTTATTTGTCACGGGGTTTCCACAGGGAGCCCAATTCAGCATTTGGAATGACACCTTTTATCTCTTTCCGGTCCCGGTACCAGCGCAGGGTGGCCGCAGGGCGTGACCTGGGAACGCTGCAGGTGAGTTCAACTTCTCCTCCTTCTACTGCCTGTTCCTTCACCTCCACTAAAGGACTGTCCGGGGGAACTGGAAGAAGCCAAACCAGGCAGGTCATTAGTCATCCCCTCCATCATCTCACATCCCATGGCTGAATCCTTCACCTGAGTACCTGAACCGCCTCTAATGAGGCAACTTTCCTAATTAATATTTCAACGGCTAGTTGATAGTGGGAGGAGATGTCTTCACCCAAGCTTCTCAATTCTGAGAAGGTCATTTTAGGAAGGAAAACAAGAACTTAGCCTTCTACAATGAAGCTAAGAAGAAAAACAGAGAGACCCAAGAGGTGGGCATGCGTTTCTGAAGATTACAAGGGTTTGCTAAATCCCTCAACCTCCATTTGTTCCTCCCCAACATTTCATGCTTGCAAAATCAGATTTATTTATTTTTTTTAAAAAAAAGGAGGTATAGGTTTTGTTTCATCTGCATCAATGCTTCCGCTGATGTTCTGCTAAGGAAGAATCCAAATCTTCTCTCTCCCCGTCTGAAGATTATCGGCTCCCTTACCGCCAAAGGCTGACCTTGAAAAACGATTGTGTCTTCTAAATAAATAGTCTTTTGTCTGGCAGGTTTGGTAGATTCCCGAAAGTGTGACTTTCAGGAAGGCTACAGCTCAGCATCAAAGCACATGTTCAACGCGCTAGAGATCTTAGGTTCAATCTCTAAGCTCTCCTGAGAGGGATAAAAGAAGACGGGTCTGAAATTCTGGACAGCCATCGAAGTCTGTCTAGACAATCGTATGTTAGGATGTCCTTTGTACTGGCAGCTTCCAAAATGTATCTGATTTTTTCCCTCCCTTTGGGGCGTCTGAAGTCTGAGTTAGAGGGGTGAAATTTAGACGGATGAGCTTTAAGAAATGGGTAAAAACCCGGCAAGCAATTACCAGGCACATATTATCACATGTGGTGGGCATGCCAGTATGTAAGGAGATTCTGGCGACAGATTCAGGAGTGGCTAGAACAAAGGGTGAGTTCAAGCCGGAATTATTTTTATTAGGAATTACAACAGAGGGCTACAACAAAGGATCAATTTATTTAGTACTACACATCCTAACAGCACCAAGAATGGTATACGCCCAGCAATGGAAGAGTGAAAACCAGAGGTGGTATTCAGCAGGTAGCGGAAATTTTAAGTAGTTTGGAGAACCAGCAAATACTGCCTCCGACTGGAGATTTCACAATATCCTTCCCCTGCCACACCCACCAAGCCACGGCCGTAGAACTTTGAATCCCACCACTGACGAAAATACACCTCTAGAAAGAGAGATAATAAAGAAAACACTGGTTTGTGCAAAATTAGATTAACTCTAGAACTAAAAAATAAAGGGGAAACTGAGTCCTACAATACATGGAATCGATTTTACAGATGGTTGGAAGCAAGAGGTGGAAATTGGAACATAAAAGAGCTAGGATAAATAGACCCACAACGTGACACTATTGATGAATACACACTGAACAGACCTTCTAACTTGTTTGGGGAGACAAAGGGTTCCCCTAGGCACATTATCAAGCAGCAAGTGATTCGACTGAGCATCGTAATCTCAAAGGGTTTAACAGATTAACAGAGTTGCAAGGGACCTTGTAGATCATCTAGTCCAACCCCCCACCGCCAACCCATGCAGGAGATTCATTTCTTCTTGAAAGACACCAGTGATGATGGATGATCCCAGAAGACCTGCTGGTTTTAATCTGGAGCAGCCCCAGAGGTGGTGTGGGAGGGGATATTCAGTTTAAAAGACTGAACTATGGGTGTCCAACCTTGGCAACTTTAAGACTTGTTGGACTTCAACTCCCTCAATTCCCCAGCCAGCCAGTTGCTTAGCAGGGGGATGCCTACCCAGCACTGTAAGGATGGCGATCTGATGGTGGGTATCTTCTGTGTACAGCTGGCAATAGTATCCACCTTCATCTTCCAGACGGGCGTTGGAGAGCACAATGCGGACCTGTTTTTGGGTGAACTCCACCAGCTGGAAACGTTCATCCTTCAAGGCTGTAAGAAGCAGAAGGGAAAATGCCTCAGTGGTGGACCAATAAAACAAATAAGAATCATCTTCTCCCAGGTCACAACAAGCTACAGTCATGGTTCTGAACAGCCCTGGACAACTTCGTAGATCAACACTGAAGGGACATCAAGAGAGTAGATGACCCAACTTTCATGTGCTCTAACTCTTTGTGGCTCTTTAGCTCAAACCGAGATCCCATCCCCAGCAGCCCACAATTTGACACCTTGAAGCCTAGAAACAAGGTTACCTCGTGTGCCGTTGAAGAAGAGCGTCTGCCGAGATGGATTCTGGATCACCACAATGGAGCCATCGTATTGGTGCAGCTTGCAATTGATCTCAGCCTGCCCGCCTTCTGCTACCGTGACATTCTCGGCTTGGACCTCCTGAGCTCTAACTAGGATGGAGAAAAAGAGAGAAGGGGTTGTTACCAGCTTTGTTTCCTGGAGAAAGGACATCTGGTCATCATCAAGGAAGTCTGCTTGCTGGGTGGACCTATCCTTATCAAAAACAACTTCTTGAGAAGGGCATAGTTGAGGGGCATCAAAGTAGCTTTGGAAATTCCGTGTCGGTAAGAACTAACTCAAAATAAGGAGGAGCAAGGTACATCCCTAAGAAATGACTTAGCAGTAGCAATAGCACTTACACTTATATACGAATTCATAATGCTTTATAGCCCTCTCTAAGCCGTTTACAGAGTCAGCCACTTGCCCGCAACAATTGTCATGCCTCTGGTGGAGGCTGACTCTGAGTAGTCAGGAGGACCCAGGCCCATCCCCTCTCCATCCTAGAGCACGCAGGAAGGAGAGGATCAGGGTAAAATGTGGTCTACTCGGGAGGAGAGGGCCATGATCCTCTTCATGGGTTGCAGGTGTGAGAAGATCTGCATAAGAGTTTGGACCTGCGTGCTAACAGACGCTGGAGACAAATTAGTGTTTTATTCCTAAAGAAGGTTTATCTTGGTTGGAGTTCTTCCAATGGACTGTCCCTAGTTATCTTCCTGAAGTTGGCAATTATCTAACCTGGTCTGTCGTGAAACTTTATTCAATGCAGTTTGTTTTTGGTTTTTGCTTCGTTATCGGCTCTTTGAATTTGAACTGTGTTTCTTTCCTTTGAAATGCTATTTTGAAAATAGTTTACTCCTCCACTGTGAACAATTAAACAGTGAAGCCAAATTGAAGGCATTAAAAGGACTTTTAGTTACATTTTCGGTTTTGTTATACTTCTGATATGCTCTGGGTCATCACAACAATCTGAGTCCTCACTTGACCCACCTCGGAAGGAGGGAAGGCTGAGTCAACCTTGAGCCTGGTCAGATTCGAACTGACAAATTGCAGGCAGCCGGCAGTCAGCAGAAGTACCCTGTAGTACTGCACTCTAACCACTGTGCCACCGCGGCTATTATTTACTGAGACTCAGAGACTGTTCTCTGAGCAAACCTCAGAAGGGAGCAGAAGAGGTCAGAAAATGAGACAGAAAAATCAACTTTGGCTGCTATATCTGGGTTGCAAAACCCTCCCTGGCCATTTCAGGAGAAAGTGAGAGTTTTTTACTATTAGCTGGTGTTTATCTAATAATCTTCATTTTTGCCTGAATATGGCTGGCCTAGCTTCACCATTGGGGTGCGTTCGTGTACGTGCATGTGTGTTTATCATAATTTTGTCCCAATAAAGGAAATATTTATAGCTCAGGCTTACACAACGAGGACTCCTTGAATGCTAGTGCTGTGATTAGCACTGATGATGTTACCTAGTTTGGATAATGAAAAGTCTGCAAGAAAACAGAGAGCACCATGGATCCCTTATTATAATTTTGGCTTGTTTATGTGAGGCCATCGAGAAATATTCATCTGCCTAAGTGTTTTATGCAGACTATAATCTGAAAGATAATGGTCAGTGGTCAGCGGGTGGATAGCCTTGCCAAGGAGCTAAGATCCGGAGGAAAGACCGGCTTCTCCTCTTTTGAAGCTTAACTAATCATCCTTCCCATCCTCACAAGTCAGCTATTAATTCCACAGAGGCATAAACAAGAGGACATTGGAGTAACACAAAAACCGGCAAAGTAAAATGTGAAAAGAGAAGGGCATGACAGGGATTGTTGGGAGAATTCCTTATAGGAACAGCCTCATCACGGGTGTGTGGATTATAAGGCATTAAAAAAATAGCAGGTTGCATGGACTCATGCAGGCATTTCGGGGACTGCGTGCAATCTTAGGAAAATACACAGCGCTTCAATGAACCCAGTCCTGACAGGTATTTATTTATACCTCTTAACAATCCCCTTTCCCTGCTTGTAGGAGAACATGTAAAATATTAAACCCTTTTTATAAACAGCACAGAGACAAAAAGGGCCCAGGTCAGTGTTAGAATGGTGTTCTTCCCACAGCATGCTTCAGCCATGTTAAATAAATGCTAAATGGTGGACATAGAGGTGTCCACATTAATAGGCTTAGCACGATTCCAAGGTTCACCGGTGTTATCCATGCTGAACGCCAAGAGCCAATGTACACAGCCCTGCACAAGACAAACGCGACATAAACTGAGCTTTAAACTTGGGACTTATCTGCAGCCTTAACTGCAACACTTTCGCTCCATGCATTTTGGGGAGGGTTTTTGTTAATTAAAGACTAACAGAATAGAATAGCTGATCTCCTCTACTCTACTCTACTCTACTCTACTCTACTCTACTCTACTTTCTATTTTGTTCTACTCTATTCTATTCTATACTAGCTCTATACCCATGCTTCGCTACGAATCTATGTGGTTGGGCTTAGTTTTGGGGGAGGGAAAAAAGGGGTTGGAAATTTGCCTCTATCTACCAGCATCCATCTGGATAGCGCCCTGTCAGTGTGTGAGAGAGTTGACGGCTGTTGGGAATCTGAAACAGTATTTGCTGTGTGAGCAAGAAGGAGACAGCAAGAAGCCTGGGCGTGGCTTAGCTCAACTCTTCTGTACTAAAGCTGCTTGGCGCTGTGAAACTAAAGCTAAAACTGAAAATGAAACTCCTCTGCTTGTGTTTTGCATTTGAAATAGATTTCTTTTCAGGTGGGGAGGGGGAGTAGAACTCCTTAGCATCAGAGCATGTTAATAATAATAACATACGTAATACTAATGCTCTGATGTTCATTTCGAAAAATCCTTTCTCAGTGAGCCCCTAGAAACCAAGAGGAACATACGTGCCAAATTTCAAGTTTGTAGGCTTTATGGTTCTGGAGATTTTGTGATGATGCGTGAGTGATCTTTCGCTTTTTTATATATATATATATTCTGTTCTATTCTATTCTATTCTATTCTATTCTATTCTATTCTATTCTATTCTATTCTATTCTATTCTATTCTATTCTATTCTAATTTCTTTTCTACTCTACATTCTGTTCTATTCTACTCTACTTTCTATTCTACTTTGTTCTATTCTATTCTGATTTCTGTTCTAATTTCTATTCCATTCTATTCTTATGCTACATTCGATTCCGTTCTGTTCTCTACTCAAAATGTGGGGATGCGAAGGTCTATCAAAGAAGAGAGGATGTGAGAAATAGTGTTCTGATAGAAGAGGACCTGGGGTGATGGACTGCAGCTAGTCCTCGACTTATGACCACAATTGAGCCCCAGATTTATGTTGCTAAGCGAGATTTTATGTTGTTAAGTGAATTTTGTCCCATTTTACGTCCTTTCTCACCACACCCAAGTGAATCGTCGCAATTGTTCAGATAGTAACACATTTATTAAGTGAATTTGTTTCTCCGTGGCTTGTGAGAAGGCTGCCAAAGGGGAATCACGTGGCCCAGGGTCTTAAGTTGTGAAAAACGGCCATAAGTCCCTTTTTTTCAGTGCCGTCGTAACTTCGAACGGTCAATAAATGAACCATTGTAAGCCAAGGACTGGGACAGTCAAATTGGAGAGAGAGAGGATGAGCCAGCCCGTTCCAAGCCAAGGGATGTGATCTTTGGCCATTCAGTATCAAGGTGGCCTCACCAAAAAGTGTTTATCCGGCACCTCGAAAACCACGCACAAAAATTTCTGCCTGAAGATAACCCCCTCTTGTCATTCAGAAGGACTCCTTTTTCCCCTCCCCAGCTTGCATAAATTATGCATTTGAGTGGCAAAGTTCCTCACTTTAAAATGATTACACAGTGTCAATTATTCCTCCCCCATTCCACCCCGTATCACATCATCGCGCCGTTCAACCACAGAATTAAAAGTCTGAAAAGCATCCGTATCCATCACCATCTGCGTACGCCCGAAGACAACAATTGATGCTGTCCCAAGATACCTGAAGGGCACCTGGTTCCGATTCTAGCCTTGCAACCTCCACTTTGTGAATGTTGTTTTGGCATTTAGAGGGGTCTCAAAGCAGTATAGGGGCGAGCAGAGATGGGAACAAGTCACACAAACAACTCACAGGTGCAAGGACAAAAGAGCACACAGGCAAACGTGGGCAGGAAATGCCTCCAGAAAAGGCCTGTGTCTCTCCTCAACCGTGCCCCATAATCCCTTGTGGGGTGGTGCCTGGGCCACTGAATGGAGCTAGCAGAGCGTTTACTGGCCGGATGCCCTTCCTGTTGCCAATGAGGAGTTTTGTTCAGCAGATATATTCTCATTGTGCCCAGAGAGATAAATAACTGTCTCTACCTATTAGATTAAGGAATAGAAGGGGAACTTACCAAATTTGCAGATGATACTAAGCTGGCGGGAATAGCTAACACCCAAGAAGATAGGCTCAAGATCTATGGATCTTGACAGACTAGAACACTGGGCCATATGTAATAAAATGAAATTCAACGTAGAGAAAAGTAAAGTCCTACACTTAGGCAAGAAAAACCAAAAGGACACGTATAGACTGGGTGAAACCAGGCTTAATAGCAGGAACTGTGAGAGGGATCTTGGAGTCTTAGTGGACAACCAGCTAAATATGAGCCAGCAGTGTACAGCCACCGCCACCAAAAAAGCTAATGCAATCCTAAGTTGTATTAACAGAGGGATACAGTCAAGATCAAGGGAAGTACTAACACCACTCTATAAAGCCCTAGTAAGACCACACCTAGAGTCCTGCATCCAGTTTTGGTCACCACATTATAAAAAAGATGTTGAGACTCCAGAAAAAGTACAGAGAAGAGCAACCAGGATGATTAGGGGACTGGAGGCTAAAACATACAACGAACGGTTGCAGGAACTGGGCCTGGCTAGTCTAGTGAAGAGAAGGACCAGGGGAGAGATGATAGCGGTCTTCCAATATTTGAGGGGCTGCCACAGAGAGGAGAAAGGGGTCAAGCTATTTTCTGAAGCACCCGAAGGCCAGACAAGGAATAATGGATGGAAACTGAACAAGGAGAGATTCAACCTGGAAACAAGGAGAAACTTTCTGACAGTGAGAACAATCAACCAATGGAACAGAAGT